GAACTCGTTACCAGATAGCAGTAGCACTCCGGCTTTACACGTGAGTCTATTCTTCTTACTGAACCATTTAGAGTTGCTTCTGAGCATCCTGGCCAACCTTCTCTAATGTAGCGGCGTACTTGCTTCAGCTCTGGACCTTTATCTGTCTCTCTGGCTATGGTGTGAGTTTCGAGATGGAACTTCATACATCCCTCGAGCTCCTCTACATATATCTGAAAGAATTCTTCTTCTGTTATATCAAAATCCAGATCCGGTGCCGTGGGAACTCTCGACAACGCGTCCGCGATGGCGTGCTGAGTCGTATTTCTGTAAAGTACCTGGTAGATCTAATCAATAAGAAACAGGGCACATCTCTGCAGCTTCTTTTCTGTGCACTCAAGAATATTTTTTCCCGGGTGAAATAACTGTACCAGCGGTTTATGATCTGTAATGATGTGAAATTTACTACCGTACGGTAACAGGAAATTCCTTGAAATTTCTCACAGCAAATTATCCTCAGGAGCTTCCGTTCGCATTTGTGAATAAATTTCCGCTGACTGGCTTGTTAAGAGTTTGGAGGCGACATGCGATGGGTCTTTCTGTTAACGTATTAGCCAGCGTGCTCGTGGCATCTAGGGGACGCTTGCAGGATTAGCCTCGCCACAAGGACGAAGTGGTTTTCCGTAAAGCATGACGCGAAGGAGAACCAGGTTTGGCGTCTTCCGGCTTATAGAAGCTTTTCACTGTTATAACAGCGAGGGGGTCGTGACGAGTAGGTCGACGTGAACCATCGCAAATAAACGAGTGTAGCAGCCAGTGGGGTTCTGGAGACAGCGGAGGAGAACTCGTGCGTGTGCAAAACTTGCGCCCACGACGTGCTATGGAGCCAGGCCTCGCGAGGCTGGAGTACTAGTTGACGAGCCTGCGAACTTTAGTCCTTGGTGACGATCTGTCCACGGCGGAAGCGATGCTTGTGGTGCGTGTGCTCCCGCGTCGAAGAGGTGTGAGGTGCCACGATTCACCGCCGATTCTCAATCGGATTAGATCGCTCGCTGCATCTGAGCTGCAAACAGCCGTTGGTTGCGCCCAGAACGGGACTTCGTGTCCAAGGCGTGACATCCGGTCAACGGAAGGCATTAGGCTTTGGCGCGACTCAAAAGTGGAGTGGCGAGATGCCACAATCCCAAAACATCTTCATC